CAGTCGAACTCCTGGTTGAATTCTCAGACAAATGGTCGCCAGAGTGGACATTTTGCATATTAGGCTTTTATTATATAGGATTATTATACACTGTAAAAGTTTTTATTTTTTAAAGAGAGATAATGACCTTCTTTTTGAAAGTATATTTTTATGATTTCAGAAAGGAAAGGAGAGAAAGAGATAGAAACATCAATGATGAGAATCATTGATTAGCTGTCTCCTCCAAGCCCAGCACTGGGGATCAAGCCTGCAACTGGAGTTGTGTCCTGACTGGGAATCCAACCTTGACTTCCACCACTGAGCCACATAGGCTTGGCTATAAGAGTTTTTAAATACATGATGATTTTCTTTTTCTAATTCTGGCACTTTATAGCTCCTGACACTAGATTTCATTTCAAATAATAATTAATAAGATGAGGTATCTCTGTACATAATATTCCTCTTGTTTTAGTCCCATCCTGTCACATTTTCTATGCAAATGCGGCAGTGCTGCATGTAGTTTCAAAAATGGGGGTTGAGGGCGCCTCTCAGAATGCCTTGAAGTATTTTTTGAATTAACATTCTGGTCCTAAAAGCAGAATTTTCCATATGCCTCTCAAGGAAGCAGATGAAAGCTGCATAATTGCTCTGTTTTCATGAAGGTAAATGAACCAATGAAAACATTGGACATGTCAGACAATAGAAGGAAAAAAAATAAGCTTGTCTTCCTTGGGAGTGCTAGTGTCTATGAGAGGATACTAAATGCACACTTAGATACAGAGTAACTGCCATCTCCTTAACAACCACACACTTATGGGGATAAGTGTTCACTCTGTCCCTATAAGGCATGTGTTTGATTAAGGGAAATCATTCAATGTAAATGCTGGCCTATGTAGCCAGTCAAAGGCAGAGTCAGCTTGTCTAGTATAGATTTGTCAGTCTTGTCTGTTTGCTTATTCAGGTTTCTTTGGCAAATCCACTGGCCTCTCTTTGCTATGCTAAGTAGCCCTAAACTTTGCTGACATCTTGGAATGAAGTCACAGGCTTTGAATGACTCTGTGAAAGTCTATAAGCATTACCCAATTTATCATGCATTTTATTCCAAAAGTGTGTTTGTGAGTTTGGAACTTGAGAAGCATTTTTCCCATGGAAGCAATGTTTCAAATGGTGAGAAGGTTCCCAGGCCAGTCCACAAAAGCCTCTTTAACAGAATATGGCTGGACTATAGGGCCCATAGCACTAGGCAGCTCACTGCTATTAATATCATTGTTTCTATGGGAAAATGTGTTCCAAGGGCTAATTGTGGATGCCAGGAGAAATTCCCCAGCCATCTCTAGACTCTGGCAGCTGGAGCTCAGACTCCCAGGACCCTCTTTTATTTAGTATTGTGAGGTGGAAAAGTGAAAATTAAAGTCTTGGGGAAATGAAAGAAAGGAGCATGGGAGGTCCAATGGATTGGTAGGAAAATTATGTTAGGGATAAGGTGGCCAGATGAGCAAATAAAGACATTGGATAACTACTTAAAGTTGACTTTCAGGTAGACAATGGATACTTTTTATAAAATTACTAGGGGCTCAGTGCATGCATTTGTGCACCTTGAAAGGAACTGTGGGCTGAGAGGCTGTGGTGCGCACAGGAGGTGTCTTGGCCCATCCTCCTGCCCAGCCCCTCCTGCCACAGCCCCTGTCTTCTGGTAGTCACTGCTGCTCCTATGCACTGACAGCGCCTGCTGCTGATGATACGGAGTCATTAGGGCCAGCACCAGCAGTGGGTATGAGCAGGTCTGGTGCTATCAGCTGGTGCTAGTGGCAGCTACTGCCCTGATCACCCCTAAGTAGCAGGGGGAGGTGGAGAAGCTCTAAGGGGTTATTGAGGCCAGCAGCCATCCTTTGTGCCCACTGACACTGCCGAGTAATTGGGTCTAGCACCGGGCACTGGCAGTGGGTGCGAGTGGTGGCTCTGGCGACAGCAGCAGGTGTGAGTGCTGGGCAGAACCACAGCATGTGTGAGCAAATCATTTTCAGTAACTACCAAAGACTCACCCCAATGACAGCTACAGGTGCCTCGCTTTGGTCTGGTGTCCCAGCTCACCTGCTCCATCATCCTGCCATGGCCAATCCCCACCAAGTTCTATTCCCAGCCACCTGCTACTGATGCCCACCATGTTCCACACATGCTCCCTGGTGGTCATCGTACGTCAATAGCAACTGGTTGTTCGGTTGTTTGGTTGTTCCCTCGTTCAGTCTATTTGCAAATTAGGGTGTCATATATATTATTGATTTAAGAGAGAAAGGGAGAGGAAAGGGGAAATATCAGTAATAAGAGAGAATCATGGATCGGCTGCCTCCTGCATGCCCCCTACTGGGGATCAAGACTGAAACCCAGGCATGTGCCCTGACTGGGAATCGAACCATGACCTCATGGTTCATAGGTTGATGCTCAACCACTGAGCCACGCTGGCTGGGAAATATATTTATATATATGTATATCCTATGCAATAATAGGGACATACAAACACAAAAATATTTGTTGTTTATCTGAAATTCCAATTTAAACTCAGCCCTATACTTTTTACATGTGGCAGGAGTGGGGCAAGATCTGAGAGGTAGAAAAGACAAAACACCAGTGTGGACCCCATATGATTTGGAGATTTTGTTTGTATTTGGAACAGATTTGTGTTTGCTTTTCTGCCTTCTCAGTTAGGAGCATATTTATTTGTAAGAGGAAATATGTTTACTTATTCTTGATTAGAATTTGCTGAATTCCAGAAATTCATGTACTTATGGGAACTGGTCTCTCCAATGAGAGAAAGCTGGGATAAAGGCTGGGAACAGCTACTGATTTGGCCTGCCTCAGAGATTGTTGTCTGACAACTGGTATTTGGCACTCCTTATATGTAATGGCCCTGCTCCAGTTGTTGAGAAATAGGTATTAGTAATTCACAAATCAGTTAACAGATGAGTCATATCACAAGGGACCTAAAGGGGAAAACACCCCCAAATAAGCTCTTCCATTTTTTCTATCCCAGTAATATATATCAGGTCACCTCTTTATTTGTATTTCAGGTTTCTCCATCTTTAAGTTCACAGTTCCTACAGACAACTTCAATCCCTGGTTGGTAGCATCCCATTCTGTCTGATGCCTTGCTTGAGTGCCAAGACAGGGAATGTTCCCAATATATCGAATGCACTCAGAAAGACCTAGGAGTGAAATATAACGAATAACATAAACTGATGAACAAAAGTAGATCCAGAGACAGGGAAACACCTAACAGACCATCAGACCTCAAAGGGAAGGCAGGGAAGAGTGAGAGGGTTGGATAAGAGATCAACCAAATGACTTGTATGCATGCATATTAGTATAATCAATGGACACAGACACGGGGGTGGTGGGGGCTTGTCCTGGGGTATGGGAATTGCTGGGAGGAGTCGATGGGAGAAAAAAGAGACATATGAAATACTTTAAGCGATAAAAAAGAAAAAATGAATACTGGAATGAATAGTGCTTTGTAACATCCTTTCACAAAGTCTCTTCCATTTTTTTTGTGATAGATCAACTGTATTTCATTAGCAAAATATGCTACTTTCTTGGTTCCTTGTGAATAAGGCTCTCTGACAATATGTCATATATGAAGGACTAGGAAGGCTGATTCATATAGTGCTCCCAGTACCTAACCCATAGGTTAGTACCTAACTCACCACTCCCAAGTCTACTGTCATGATGCTACAGCTCTAAACACTTAGAGAGGACAAAATCCATTCCTTTCCAAATTTTACAAATTCCTGTTCAACCCACTAAAAATACCATGCTAAAATGTGAGCAAACATGGATGTGCTGGTATGCTTTGGATTTGTTGTGCCAGAAGTCACTTAGGAAGAAGAATCCACATGCTCATCTTCATCCTTAAATGAGTTTTAGCAGAGGATACAGTACAGAAAGGAACTCCTCCTGTTTAAATTCCTGGCAGGTACAAAATGCTCATTTTAGTGGTTGGGTCACTTTTGACTTGGAGTGACTCTAAAAGAAATACATAGTATGGATTATGGCATGCAAAAGCTTATATTCATAGCTAGCAAGTTAGATAAAGAAGGTATGAAAAGAGCAGCTTGTGGTGCCCTGAATATAGCATCCTCCAGTGTATGTGGTCAAAGTGTTTGAAATTTGCTTTCTCAGATCTCCATAGTTGTTGGAATAGATGGTGAGAGACAAGATTTTCAATAAAGATAGAGTATTTAATTGGGCTTCAACTCTACATTGGCAAGACAAGTGAGGTTTCATTTGGGGTCCCCCACATCCTCTGCTGCTTTTGGAGTCTGACCAACATATTTTGTTCATCACCTTTTCCCATGTTAGAATTTGTGAATGCATGAGAGAAAATTTCATCCAGATGTTGCTGAATCATTTATATAAAAAGGTCAAAAGGACGTTTTGATCTCCTAACAACTTTCAAAGCCTTTGACAGCCTCTTCTGACTCAGAAGCATAATATCCTACAAGGCTCCAGCAGGTTATGGTATCATTTCAGAACTTAGAAATCAAGAGTATTCATAGATTCAAGTATTTGCTTCTCAGATTTCAATTCTGGCCGGCACCCATATTACCTACTTTCAAACAAAGAGGCCATCAACAGGCCTCCCCTATCTGTAGAGGTGGGAGTGGAGATAGGAACATGATTTTTCAACACACCCAGTGCATAACAAGAAGAAACAATCTCCCTGGAAGCATACAGGCACCTTTTCTATTAACTTGTCCCCTATTTTTCTGTACCTTTCGAAAAGAAAGAAGATGGAGTCCCTAAAGATGTCCACTTCCTCATACTTGGCTAGGGCCCACACTCCAGAGCAGCTATGTCACCTTTGTTACATCACATACTTAAGCAGCTGGTTGCCCCATGACCAAGACTCTAGAATTTTGAGGACAGTATATAAAGGGCATCACTGCTGTAACCACAGGCATTTCTGACCCCCCTTTTGAAGTGATAGGATATAGGGTACCAAATGCTTGTTGATGTAGAGCATCAGCATGGCTAGTCAGAGTACCTATGAGATGCAGGAAGCCAGGCTGGCCCCATCAGAGAATGGACAGCCACCAATACTGGTCCAATATGATACATCCCCAGGCCCCCATGTGGGTCTCAGGGAGGCTTTGGAGAGGCATGGGGGCCAAGAAAAAAGCCAAGATCCAAGCCCACAAGACAACCCGCAACCACAGGCCCCAAACCAAAGCACCGCCAATGTGGAAGGAAACAACATTCTTCATGGGCCATCCTTCCCAAGAAAGCTTTGGAGGATAGTGGAGGATGATGCCTTCCAGTCTGTGCACTGGAATGACGATGGAGACACCGTGATCATCAAGGAAAACCTTTTCCAGAGGGAGATTCTCTGTCAAAGGGGCAAGGAGAAAATCTTTAAATTGAGCAGCCTGAAGAGTTTTATCCGCTTGATGAACCTCCATGGTTTCAGCAAAATACGCCCTGGTGATTCTTCAGTTTGCTCTCCAACGAACAAAATAATGGTAAAGTAGAAAGTTCTCCCATTTCCTGTGTTGTTTGTTACTCAAACATCTTCCTAATAGACCCAGAAAAATGATACCTGGAGGGCTTCATTTTCAGGTTCTAATCATTTTTGACATGAAAGATGAGAAAGCATAGATTTTTATATGAAACTATAGCCCCCTTAGAGATAACTTGCAGGGATGACTAAAGACTCTGAAAGTCCAGTTAATGTCAAATAGATATATTTTCTCTCCAAATGACTAAAATAATTAATTTTGTTTCAGATCTACCAAAACAGCAATTTCCAGAGGGACAAGCCTTGGCTTCTTGAGAACATCATGACAAAAGGCAACCAGAAGACTCATGCTTTGCCAGGGACCAGTGCAACATCTCCCAAGAGAAAGAAGAAGATGGCCCACACAAGACACCCCCCAACAATTGACTATAATGATTCTGAAGAAAAGGCCCAGAGGAACGCCAAAAATGATTGGGGACCCAGTGCAACAGAATTTTTCAAGTACTTGGGTCTGCAGCCCACAAGAAATGCCATGGAGGTCCAATGCCCAAGAGAGGCAGGTGGTCCAAGTGGGGAGAACATGTCTGGGAATATCATGTTTGTACCCCTGGAAATTGCAGGAACTGATGGCACAGGGGATATGCCTACAAGCCCGCCAAATGACCCACTCCATGGTTCAGTGATGTCTTCATACAATGCCTGTTATTCCACCCTGATGGCTGGCTTTTCAGTCATGGCCCCACTTGAGGCCCCTGACAAGAAGGAGGAGGAAAAGGAGTCCTCAAATAACAAGTGTTCACTCAGTGAGCAGTTCAAGGACAATGTAGACCACTAACATCACATTGACAGAAAATAGTCATTACTTTGTAACCATGAATCCATTTTGGCTTAAATAATGGAAAGCAAAACTAAATAGTAGAAAAATAAAAAAAATCCAATGAGAATTGTGAGTACTTGTTCTTCTGTTTCCAATCCACACACCTCGTCAGATGAGCGTGAGATGGCTAGAAATCCTGGCCCCAGAAAGAAGTCTGTCTCTCTTGTCCTCTTTCATTTTCACCCACTCAGTCAAGGATTTGGCTAGGAAGTCCTGAGGCAAGCCCAGGAAGATCTGGTTCCCTGGGCTCTGCCTACTGAACAGGAGACAGAACTGCCTGGCTCCTGATCTTGGGGGAATCATCTTACATTACTCATGCATCTTGAAAAAGGAGGATCTTTACTATGATTCCAGGAAGTTTCTGATAAACATCTGAGTATCTGTAGCTCAAGTTCCAGGGGCCTTCCAGGGAGGCCCACCTAGAACCCAGGCCACCCCATCTGCTAAGTGGTATATGACAGAGCCAATCTGGCTCAGAAGATAGGCCATTCCAGTTAACACCTGGGAGAAAGCCCATCATCCTCACAGCTAACAACCATTAGTAACTCTGCTAGAAGGGATCCAAATAAATTAAATATTGCCCACACAGGAAAACAAAAAAACCTCTACCCATCACTTTTTTATCAGCTACATTTCAGATCCTATCTTGTATCATGAGGTAGCTTTGTGACATGTCTAACACATGCCCTCATGAGCCAAGGGACACTTTTATAGCAGACAAGTCACTTGCCAGGACAGACAGGCACTTTGTTTCAAAGTCTGGTGCCCCTTCACAGTGAATGAGGCCATCATTGCTGGTCACTCTTGGGCAATCATTCAGTGCTCACTCCCAGACCTCCCATAAGGTCTTCCGGGTGCTGCTGAAGTGTTCTGTGAGTTTGACCAGTCAGAGAGGGGAAAATATGTAAGGAAGCCCCAAACACTAACCTGTTCTCCTAAAGCATTTTTCTTTGTACAACTCAGAAAAGAAAAGGACCAAAAAGAGTGATAACACCAAGATATTTCATGGCAGCTTTCCCTTTTCCCTAAAGTCAGAGTCTTGAGACAATGATCCCAGAGAGGCATCTCACAAGGACAGTCACCTACATCTAGGCACAGAAATCTGTTTACGCAAACAGCAGATGGTGAGTAGTGCTCTCCATGGCAGCACCAATTCAGTTCTACATCCCCGGCATCATGGCCCATTGATGGTCATGATTCAGCTGGATTCTCGGTAACTTTCCTGTGGAGTCCTCCTGCCCCTAAGGGATCAGGTGCTGTGGATGCCTACCTGGAAGATAGCCTTTCCCCCTTTCTTGGGTATGCACTCCAGTAACCACCTGGGTTTGAAAGTGCAGTCGTGTACTTCTGCTTCAGGTTGGTCAGTACAGCCTGCTGTTCCAGTTCTATAAAATCCTCAGGAGCCACATTTTCTGGGCACTGCAGAGTTTCCTCAATGTCAGGGAGCCCCGTCCATCATGAGAGAAGCACTGAGATGTTTTACTTTCCATAAACCAAAGGCTTGCTGTGAGAGAAAATGGTTCTTTAAAGTTACGCTCACAAAAGGCTAAGCTGATTTCACCAAAAGGACATGGAATGAGCTGGGTCCCTCTGACTGAGCAATTCTGATGTGTCAAACTCTGTTCAGGTAATTCTGGGTGAGGCCAGGGGAGAGAAGGAAAAGAAGAGGACAAAGCCTGGTCCCAACCCGACTGCTATGGGCAGCATGTACAAGGGAACCCACAGGCAATGAGGGTCCCAAGCTCTTCACTAGATAAAAGAAGCTGCTGTGGGACCTCAACCACTGAGGGGTGAGTGAATGTGCTCAGGATGCCATGGGCAGTGGGAGTGGGGCAGGTGTGTGAAGTGAGGCAGACAGCCTGAGTCTAGAAGCCACCCAGCCTTCTCTGTGTGCTGTGCATCCTCCCCTGGTCTGTCATACATAAACAAACATATGTGTACATACATAAACACACATTCATACACCCAGGCAACACCATATGCAGACTTGGACCTGTCCCTTTCTCTCAGATTACCAATGGGAACTGAGGTGTAGAGTTTACAGAAGGGTTACAAGAGAGTTCTTGGGAACATCATGACAACAACTGACATAAGATCCATGAAATGGACAAATTCCTAGAAATATTCCAACTAGGAAAACTGAATAAAAAAGTAAATAGAAAATCTGATTAGATCTATAAGATTGCATTAATAATCAAGCACTTTCCTCAAAGAAAAGCCTTACAAAATATCTTTACTAGTGAATTGTATGAACTTTTAAAAGAAATAGACCAAGACCTAGCCAGTTTGGCTCAGTGGGTAGAGCACCGGCTGCAGGCTGAAGGGTCCCAGGTTTGATCCAGGTCAAGGTCAGGTACCTCTGTTGCAGGGTCTTCCCCATCCCAGGCCATGGTTGGGGCATGTACAAGAGACAACTGATCAATCTGAGAGACATCTATGTTTCTCTCTGTCTTTCCCTGTCTCTTCCACTTGCTATTAAAAAAAAAAAAAGGAAGAAAAGTATCCTTAGGTGTGGATTTAAAAAAATAGATAAATTAAGTCAGTATTTTCCTTAATTACACAAGAAATGAAGAGAAGGGGATTATTTTTTTCCAACCTGAATTATACAGTCTCAACTGCCCAAATATATAAGACTTCTGGGCATGGATGGTAGCCTGGATTTGTCTATGAGTTGTAGTTCCTGTATAAACTCCCACACTGAAACTGGGATTAACCGTCCCTCTTTCCCCCTTCTGCGTGATAATTTGTATGGTAAAATATTTTATTACTTAAACAACTTTTGTTTTGGGGAGGGGCAAATACATTGATTCCCTGAATTGAAAAATCAGTTGATCTCCTGCTCAACATTAGCCACCTACATTTGTTTTAAATGCCATGGAATCATGATTCAATGAAAGCCTAGTAATTTGACTTAAAATGTGGGTATGGCATCTCAGCTGAGTTTTGAGTTCCCTTCACTTCATACAATTGCATTGCTATTTAGTAGACAATTAAATGAAGAAGGTATTTATCAATTGTTTCAAAAGTATGCTATGTGCTAATATGGCAAAAGAAAATGTGGTTTTCGTGTTAAATGTGCATATGCTTTATACATCTATGAACAACAGACACCTTTTAAAATATAATTTTATTGAAGTTGTTGATCCAGGTAGAAACAATTTCTCATCTCAGGAAAGAAGAGCTATTAAATAGTGAGGTTGTATCATGGACCCAAAATACTGTAACACCAAGTGTTATAGCCCATCAGAGCTGATTAGATGAGCTTCTTGCCTTTCCACTAGGCCTTGGTCAAGGAGCATCTCAATGACCACCATAATGGACAAAAGAATAGAGTCTCTTCTTTGATTTTCTTAGACTGAGTAAGCCCTGATAATCTTTTCAGATCCAGTGGAAGTGGGGAAGTTCTTCTAGCATCGCCACCTCTAAGAGAAATAAACAAACAAACAAAAAAAACATGATTGAGCTCTGTGGAAGGCAGAACAATGACCCCAAAATGTATCTATGTCCTTAATTCAGAACCTGTGAATGTGTTACATTACATGACTAAATGGACTTTGCAGATATGATTAAGGTTCAAGACCTTGAGATAGGAAGATTATCTTGGATTATCCTGTTGGACTGATTCTTATCACATGAGTCCTCAAAAGCAAAGAATATTTACTGCTGTAGTCAGAAAGAGATGTCACAATGGAAGAAGCATTAGAGAGATGTGACATTGCTGACTTTGATGATGGAGAAATAGGCCATATGCCAAAGAATGCAGGCAGTCTCCAGAATCTAGAAAAAACAAGGAAACAGAATTTTCCCTTGAGCCTCCAGAAAGGAACACAGTTCTGCTCATACCTTGATATTAGCCCAATGAGACCCAAGTCTGACTTCTGACCTACAGAACTGTAAGATAATAAATTTAGGTTGTTTTAAGTACTAAGATTGTGGTAATTTATTATAGCAGCAATAAAAACTAATAGGAGATCAGACATAGTATAATAAGTACCTGGACAAGAAGGTTATTTTCTCTATTACATGAAAACAAAGGCAGCATAAAGAGATATAGCCTGTGCCTCTGTAACTACTAGAAATAAATATTTGAATGAGTTAAGTGGAGTTGAGTCATCATGATTATGTAGTTGGGATAATGCCAACAAATTTCTCTGAATAAACAGGCCCACATGCATCTGTTTGTTTTGCCATTGGACCATCAGAATCAGCATGACTTCTCAAGGCCTACTATCCCTTGCCCATGTAGTTTCTAAGTTAGATATACATGGTGACTAAAAATGTATACTCACTTTGAATGATAATAAAGTCAGTGTTTATTAACATACTGTTCATTTTTTAAAACAAAACTCCACAGAAGTTATTATTATTATTATTATTATTATTATTACTATTATTTTTGGTAAATGCCTGTTTTTAAAATGATGAACGTTCTGGTCCAGATACTGCTGATAATGCAAAAGCAATGGCATATCCAACATAAAGAATCATTTTGTTTATTATTTGTGTATCCTCAATTCATTGATTATTCCCGGTTTTGTATCATAAACTTTATCTTTTATGTATCCCTATAAAAACTTTTAGTGGCACTTTAGAATAACTTTTTTGTTCAAAACTTAGTCTGGTTTCACCCATTATTTCAAACTAGTGGCCCTGTGCATGAAATTCATGCACGGGTTGGAGGGTGTCCCTCAGCCTTGCCTGCACCCTCTCCAATCTGGAACCCCTCGGGGGATGTCCAACTGCCAATTTAGGTCCGATTGCTGTGGTATTTGGCCTAAACCTGCAGTTAGACATCCCTCTCGCAATCCTGGATCGCTGACTCCTAACCACTCACCTGCCTACCTGCCTGATCACCCCTGAGCACTTTACCTGCTGGCCTGATCTCCCCCTTCTGGTTTGATCAACCCCAATTGCACCCCCCATCAGCCTGATTGCCCCCAACTTCCCCCCCTCTGCCG